TTCAAAACAAACAAACTGTAGATTAACGTAAAACAAATCAACCTACTTGTACAAAGTAACGCGATAGCTAACACACTGAATGCTTCAATCTCTATCTTGAAATCACTCTACATACTTCACAACTATCATATATCTATAATGTAGCTTCGAATATACTAGAAAATCTTGTCAAATCTTTAGAGTTTCTAAGGCGCCCAATGCCCTCTAGCTAACAAATTACAACCCTTTAGATATAGTTTACAACAATATTCTAGTTTAAGTGATATATTCGTAAAATCATGTCAACACTTCTACAGACTTTTTTATGTAGCTGTAACACCAAAGTGGGGTAAAATATTCTTCACCATTAATTACATAAATAAAAACATTGAAATAAATTAAGAGATTACGATCAACCCCATTATCTAGTAAGCTATTTTAAAATAAAGAATAGCTCAAAGAAAATGTTTTTTGCTTAATAATGTGTCTGAAAACTAATATTCAGTTATCTTCTCTGAAGTTAAAGTATATTACAAAATATATATATAAGTGAAATTGATTATTGAGTATTGAAGAAAACACTTGTACGTTGTAGTTTATTATTTAGTCGTCGTCATGGTATTCAATGGTGTACCTTCTTGTTTGTAGGTGGCAGAGCGATATCTTAAGTTTCGCGCCATAAAATTCAGAAGTGTATAATAACAAGTAATGTTATGATTGAAATAACGTAGAATTTAGGAAGAAGTTTGAGCATCATATATACTTTATTTTAATATTATTTGTTGAAGCATATTGTCAACACAATTTGTAAAAGCTTTATATTGCAATATAACTATATATATATATCATCGAGAAGACAAGATATTTCAACATCAAGCAACATAAATGTCTGGAGATTCGCAGACCAATCTTCCATGGTAATATTGTTATTTATATGTTAATACTGCTTGTACTAGTAGTAATAGAACGTGTCGAAATTTAATGATATATAGAGTTTGGTGTTTAAAGCAACGGTCTAAAACAAAGGGCTTGGCTTTTTCCGAAAAAGAAGCTCGGAGAGGTATATAGTATAGCAACAATGATATAACTAACAATAACAATACATTTTATATGTACAAAATATTCTTTCCAGAAGGTTTCAATTTCACTTGATGCTATTGATTAGTTACATTGTGGAGGATTTATTATTTTCACTAAAAAAGGAGGGGCAGTTTTAAAATTAAAAATCTGTTCAGTTTTTTATCTATCAATATCATTAAAAATGCATCTGTGAAACTGAAAAGTGCACAGACTGCAGAATATTAGTGTTAATTTTAGTTAATAAAAGTATAACTTGAAAGGAGTAGGATGACAGAATGTATGACATATATTATGTGAGATAACTTTTCTATGAAGACTTTTTATGTTTTAACACTGATAAAACAAATATTGTTACCCTTTAGAATGCTGGAATATCACAATTATTTATTCTTTTCCTGCTCTAATTAATTCATTTTGCATTACATTACATTGGATCTTTAGTTTAAATGTGATGAGTGTTATGAAAGGCAGGTATTTAATTCTTTAAAGTTTATGGTTAACTAGTATAAGGTAGAGAAAGAGTTGATAAAAGATTCACTTTGCTATTTCAGTAAGTAAGAAAACATCTGAATGGTAAATACCTGGCTGTCATTTTTAGTTCAAACAGGGAAATTTTCAAGATTAGTGAGGAAAGGCTTGAACTATAGATAGCATATTAATAGCTTATAGCAAATACTATTGTTCTAATCAGTACTTTATAAAGGATGACAGGTAATTATATGGAGTTTATACAGTTAACACTATAGGAGCAAAAAATACTTATGACCATTAACGACATCAACTAATGTTACATAAAGTAATAGATTAATCTCAAACAGCTTTTACTGTATCTGAAGGCCAGTTATTCTATAGGCCAACCACTCTATTACAAAAATAACATTGTCTTAACTGAAGACATGGCTGAGTTTTCCATGTCTTAAACTTGTGTTTTCTAGTCTTACTGTCTGTAGTTTTTTTATGTATGAAAACCTCATCTGAATTTATGGATTAACTGGACTAATATTTCTTGATATAAAAAAAACATAGCTCTTCTTGCAATGAACTATATCATATAATAATACTTTCTGTAATAGTCTGATTCAGTAGAAAATATTGTGAACATAACATTAATTGAATTCCAGTTTTTTAATAGTTGATAAAATAAGTTTCAATCTGCATTGAAACTTATTGTATGATACCATTTGAAAAAGTGCCTTGAAAAATGGTAACAATAGCTATTGTGGATCAGTATTGTTTCATGAGTTGGAATTGTTTACAAAGACATTTTTTGCTATCTTTTAGGAAGCTCTTGATGTTGCTCAGACTAGTAAATAAGAAGGTATATTAAATAAGTTAGTTTTGTAAGAAGTCATTGGACTGTTTGTATTCAGCACACTATTTTACAGTATAACAAGCAGTTTTGTGAAGAAATTTAAAATCTTAATAAAACCTGTGTAGTTAAGTTCAAGTCTTGTTTTCCAATGCCGTTGCTTATTTCAGTAACTGTGAACTCTGTTTATCCAGCTGACATCTGACATTTTAAACTGTTCTTCACAATTTAGGGTTGAGAAGTACAGACCAAAAGAACTTGAAGAACTTATTGCACATGAAGACATTCTATCCACTAGTAAGTCAGTTTTTTTAAATTAGATTATGCAACCAGGATAGACTTTTTTGGATCAAAAGAGTCCAGTAAAGCACCTCTAAATGTTTTAATTAGTTTTTAAAAATGAAAGTTAATATCATTAAAAGATTAATCACAGAGGTTTCCATTTGCTTTTTCTTTATATGATTTACTTTTTATTACAAAAAAAATTTAGAATTTTTTATAATATATTTTCATAATGGCATAGATGAATTTCTTCTTTCTCATTGTTTGTGATCAGATACTTATTTTTCACTTGTGGACAACTTCATATTTGTATTTTTGTACAAAACTTGCTCCAAATAAAGTATATTGAACATACATTTGTTTTATGTTATCGGTTCCCCAGGTGGTGATGTTAGATATTGATGTCCGTTGTTGGCTTGTCATGTTATTACAGTCAAGTGATAAATACAGACGATAATTGCCTATTATCAACAATTGGTGTCTTTTTTTCCTTCTTTTTGGCTAAGCAATAATAGAAGACGAAATTGGTATGTTCTCCACAAACCACACCAGATACAAATGACGGTACAAGGTTTCCACTATATGTGCAAAAATATCTGGTCAGTGTATGTTGTTGTCAGTTTTAATAGATAATGACCAGAAGTATGAGAACAATTATTGTACATGTGAGTAGAAATGGTCATGATTATCGGAACAGCATTAGTGTTTTCAGATATCTCAAAATCTAGTAATACTTCAGAAATTGTATCTTTGTGAAATATTATTTTTTACATAAATTGTTGGTTAGGTAAATACATATATGTATGAACGTTGTAGATAATTTTTATTTTATATCAATATACATGGGCAATTTTACTGAATGATGTCCCCAATTAACTTATCTTTGGTATTGGGTTAACTGCACATGTTAGTCAATAACAAAGCACGCTTGAAGGTGAGAAATTAAATACTTTTCCTATCATTCTGTGGGATACAGTAGCAACTAAGTTGGAATTTATATTTTGATGCATTTGTTAAGTACCTTCGTAGTGCTTAAAAGCAAAATTATGAAACATTGAGATGTGTATAGGTTAATTATTGCTAACATTGACATGAGAACAACTTCAACATGATTACAGTGCTAACTTCAGCCTAACTTTATTAGAACACTGTGAGAATTAACATACACACATACAAGGGTCTGACAAGATTTGTCACTTTCACAGGATTTAATATAAGTATGGCTCGAAAAAATGAGGTTTGTTTTGATTTAAAACAATATAAGATTTTAAAATGCCCAAAAGTTTGGATTTTTATACATTCTTTGCACTGTTAACAGAAAACAAAGGAATAATACATAAATTTGAAGTTGTATTTTACAGTCTATAGTCTCGATAAGTTAGGCACTACAGCAGTATTGATTTCTAGTTGTTAATCTTCTGCTAGAGAAATATGCCACTACATCTTGGACACAGTTTCAAGAGATGACAGTATTTGTGTGGAAAATTTCAATATTGGTGTCAAGACTTTGTGTAATTTTGTTTTTGACATCTTAATTATTTAAGTTAAAGTGTTTGTAATACTTTTATTTATCTTTATTTGGTATTTTTTGTAAAAAATGAAAATAAAACAATATTATTCAAAATGTATAATTAACAGAAATTTTTGAACAGTCCAGATGAATATTATTTGAGTCACCTTTATGGCAGATTTGCATTATTACTGTTAACAGACATTGGATTGGTATGGCTGAAGGAATTTCAAATAAAAACAGTGATATCTGAAAACTGGTGCAACTCCAAGTAATACAGATTATCTAATCAAACTAATAATGCTGTAGATTTTGAAGAACAGATTTATTTAACATCAATGTTTTGTGTGTGGAGCTCTTTTTATGTTTTCCAACTAAAACACATGAAAATTTCAGTTCGTAGGTTTATTAAAGAAGATCGTGTGCCACATCTCTTATTGTATGGACCACCAGGTACGGGAAAAACCTCGACTATCTTAGCCTGTGCTCGTCAGATTTATTCACAGAAAGAACTTAACTCAATGGTGTTAGAGGTATGTTGCTGATTTTATTTATATTTCTTAGGAACAGTTCTTACCATTTTTGTGTTATATACTCGTATATATGTGTACAGTATCAAGAATAAGCAATTATTTTAATACCAGCAAGACTGGTTAGGCCTAACCAACAAAACACAACCTATTACAGAATAAATTTCTGCAGATCTAAACATGCTTTTAAAGTTAACATTTTGTGACCTAGAAAATTGTAAAATAATTGGACAACTTTTATTTATTGTATTGAACATGATGATAATATAAAAAAACTTCCTTTCTATTCAGTGGAATGCCCTCTATATGGAATGCCCTGTATAAGGTACTACAGATTTCAGTTAACCTCTACAGGTGTTATTCCAAACAATTCAAAGGCATTGTTGCTTTTAAAGGACAGTTCTCATTGGACAGATCTGTTTGTTGTTAAGCTCAAAGCTACTCAATGGGCTATTTGTGTTGTGCTTACCACAGGTATTGAAACCCAAGTTTTAGCATAAGTCCATAGACTTACTGCTGGAGGGCTGATAGGTCTAACAAGGTTAGGCTATTCAATAAAGGTGTTGCAGTAAATTATATCAAAGTAATTTTAGTTATAGTTTAAAATTCCATCTAACTGGGGACTAATTTCGGTAAGTAAATTTATTTTTTGTGTTTTGATAAAAAGAATTGTAGGTTTACGAGTTAAAATTACTTATGAAGTGTTAACTTATAAACAGAGCCAGCCTAACAAACACTCAAGTATTATAGGCATAACTTTTTGTAATACATTTTAGTATAATAGTAATAAAACGTGAATATTTCAGAAGCATTATCTACATCTCTGCACCAGTAAGCGTCATCACCTTGCATGCAATTGCCGTGATATTTTCTGTACATATCTACATATATTGTGTTATTTTTCAGTGTGGCAATATATATGCATGTAGCTTTTATAGTTTGATATTTCTTCACTGACTTTTTATGAAGGAAGATTCTTCAAGAAGACTACAAATTATGTTCATGATAAAGAAAGAGACGTTTAAAATGAAATGTGTTTTGAATTTGCCAAATTCCACAAAAGCTCTGAACTTTTAGAAAAAATGATGTAACACTAAGAATCAGTTAAAACCATAATTTTTTGTTATGTGTAAATTAAACAGTTTTGATATTTTGTTTTTGAAAGTTTTTATACGTTATTATAGTTAAACGCATCAGATGATCGTGGTATTGGAATAGTTCGAGGACAGATTCTCAGTTTTGCTAGTACAAAGACAATATTTAAGTAAGTACTTTATTTGCTATAAATATATATTTAGTTTTCTTTTTTGTGTGAAGTTTTACAGCTTGTTAAAACTTTTTCGTGTTTTTGGTTCTTATTCAAATACGACAAACAGATTACTATCCACATCTGGAAGTAGGATTAGATTATTGGTTAAATACATTACAAATTTATTATATTTAAGATAAACCAGGTGTCATAGTCTGGGTTATTCTTTGGGGCATTTAAAGCTGTCTAGATGGTGAAAGCAGATATTGTGAAGAGATAATGGATCAATTTGTTTTATTATTAAAAGTAGTGATAATGAATAGATGATCTGACAGGTCTGTTTGTTGTTAAGAACAACAATTGGTGTTTTATTTTTTTATTAAAATACTTAAGTGACTCAAGATAATACTGAAATTTTCAATAGAGAGAAGGGTTAAAAAATTCAACATTTTTGTGATTCTCTTCAACATTGTAAATAATTTTAATTTTGAGATGTAAGGCTTCAATTTTCTAGTTTTCTTTCAGCAAACATTTGTCGTATAGTGTGTTCTGAGATGCAAATAAATGTACCAAAGATATAAATGCCACTTTCATAGATAATCTATAAAGTTTCACATTTCTTTCTGAGTTTAAGGTTGTGTTGAGGAAAATTTTGTAGATATTTCACAAAACGTTTTTTCTGAGGATGAGGTTTGGCTAACTATGCTAGTAATTCACATTGTAATGTAGCTTATTTTATTGCTTTTAATAATCTCTTAAAGAAATCAATAAAAAATACTTGGCTTTTCTTGTAACTTAAAAATTATCAATATTTAAATGTTTGAAATAGAAAAATATCATAAGTTAAATAACATATTTTATAAAATAACTAATGCTAGATAAATTCAAATTACATGAAAAAATTAGTTTTGAAAATTATATTTTTTTCTCTGTTTTAAATAAAACTTTGGTATAGCAGAAGTTTCTATAACTCATTGTTATTATTAAAACAGTGACCGTGTTTCATTTTTTGTTGGGCTAGTGTGGACTAATGGTAAGAATGATGGACTGTTGATTATAAGGTCCAAGGTTAGTGCTGCACTTTCAACTAGAGGAGTTCTAATCATGACAATCAATCTTGTTCTTCAGATCAGAGTATCTTAGTAGGTGGTGGATATTGATGACTAGTTTCTTTCATTTTATTCACCTGTTTGATTTGATATTGAGTACTGTCATGTCTGAACCTTGGAGTCTTTGATCTGGCCATTTCTTCCATATATTGCATATATTTTTAAGTTGAAAATACAAAATACCATTTTTTATTATAGTTTAAAACAACCTGTTTCATTTATTAGAACAGTCATTGTTTCATTAGTTATTAAAACATCAGTCACTTTTTCATTTATTATCATCCTCAAACGAAAAGAGTTATTTCTACAAAATTTGACAGTCTGTCTAAGTCGTTACAAAATTCAAGTTTTTCTTCATGATTTTTTACTCAGGTCAGGATTCAAACTGGTTATCTTAGATGAAGCAGATGCCATGACAAATGATGCCCAGAATGCTCTGAGACGAGGTGAGAATCTAATATGATGTTTTTCTGTGCTGTTCATGACAAATGATGCCCAGAATGCTCTGAGACGAGGTGAGAATCTAACAGAGCATTCTGGGCATCATTTGTCATGAACAGCACAGAAAAACATCATATTATTTTACATTAACATTATTATAATTAGTATTATATTAATATTCAAATGCAAAAAAATACTGTGGTAAGATACAAGTATATCCACTAATAAGAAAAGAATATTAAATCTGCATCTGATACAAATTTTAAAGCATTAGGTCTCAGATTTAAAAAATGAAATGGAATCTACTTGTTATGACTGGTACTCAAAAGGTACTTTACAAGATTTGTTTGTTTTTTAGAGCAAAGCCACATTGGGTTATCTTCTGTGTCCACCACAGGTAATCAAACCCCCAAAATTTTGTGTTGTAAGTTCGTAGATTTATCAGTCCCACTGGGGGACTACAAGATTTATGGAACAGCACAGAAAAACATCATATTAGATTCTCACCTCGTCTAATATTAATATAAATACAATAGAAAGTAATTTATTATCTCTCATCCTTATTCTTTCTAGTCATAGAGAAGTTTACAGAAAACACAAGGTTTTGTCTCATCTGTAATTATTTATCGAAGATCATTCCTGCACTCCAATCTAGATGTACTCGGTTTCGCTTTGCTCCCTTGAGCCCCAAGCAAATGCTTCCTCGCCTCGAACACGTTATACAATGTGAAGGGTAAATATCAGTTTACTAAAGATTTGGAAGTTTTAATCTGTTGTGGTAAAATAACATTCTGAAAAACAAGTGGTGTTTTTTGTTTTTTCTCACAAATTCAAACCTAAAACTAGGCATTTCTTCATATTGCCAATAAATGTAATGTTTTAAAACTGAAAGAAAATTTTAATAAAATGAGAATATTACTTTGTGAAAGAATAAGATGAATGATAAGATAGCCACAGCAAAATCACAAATCAAACCATTTTATCTTATTATATGTGTTCTGTATAACATATTCTTACACAAGTTAAAACACGATAAATAAAGGTGCACTGGTTTGCTAAGAATTTATTGTATGGAATGTGATCTCTCATTGAGAATGCTTGTATCGTTAAGAAAGCTTTATTTGATGCTTAACTTTTAAGATTTCTGTAAATCGATATCCATATCTAGTGTATATGACTTCTCCAATATTGTATCCCATTTTTCTAATTATTTGACCAGTATTATTAACCAGTGAGTAAAATTATTTTAACTAGTGAAAAAATTAATTTTAGCCTGATTGATTATCATCTGGTAAAATATGATCATAATGGGTTGGGTGTTAAATTTTTTTTTTTGGTAGTAAAAGATTAATTATGTAAAAAATAATAATTTAAACAAATAAATAATACCTATGGAGACAGAGATATTCAAAGGAAAATAAGACAGAACTTTTATCATTGAAATAAAACTGGGTGGGTTGTTTTAATATATTATATTCCAGATGGCATTCTTTTAGGAATTTGTTTGGTTATACTGCTATTTATTGTCAACAAAAAATACAATGTGGTTTAATTTATTATATGATCAGTGTAACTGTCACAGAAGATGGGAAGAAGGCGCTATTAGACTTGGCTCAAGGAGACATGAGAAAAGTTTTAAACATCCTACAGGTATTTTGTTCCTATATTTTGAATTCTCTTTTGTTTAAAGTATAACCAGAACATACTTCTATTAAAGGATCAGTCACATTCAGCTAATGTAAGAACCGTGTTTATTGGATATAATCATCATAAAAAGATAATTACATGTATATATATATATATATGTGATTTGTTGCTTTCATATTAAACGATTTATTGAAAAATCTTAGTTTGAATTATGTGTGTCAAATTCTCCGATGCAGCTTCAAAGGTTGTTGTTTTTCGTCTGCTGTTATGGAAGTAATATGACAACAACAATGTTATTCTTTGGATGCATTTGTTATGCAAATCTTTCAATTCTGTTTTGTCTCAGTATTGACAAGTAAATATCTTTAAATGTAGGAGGGGGGAGTATGTTTATAAGCACATTATTTGGTGGTAAATTTATTGTTTTGTGCAAGTAAAATATTTCAAGGATAAAAAAAGTAGAATAAGGTGAAGATGATAAATGAATTAAACTCTTGGACGTAATTCACCTTAAATATTCTTTAGTTTTCTATTTTCATTGCAATTTTTTGAACAAATGATCTTTTTTCAACCCAGAAACAAATTTGTTTGAATGAAACTTTTTGCCAATTATTATAATGTTTAACATATCTGAAAAGGAAATAAAGCAATCAATTTGCTTTTAAAACCATAATTATTGTTACAAGAAACTTTTAATTGTACTTATAATTACAAAACAATAATAACAAAGTTATTCTTGTGGGAAAATTTTTAGTGTATTGTTGATAAATTCAGCAATAATAATCACTAATAAACCTTTTGTTTGTCAGAAATTAGTGCTCACACAATGGTGGATATCTGTTAAAACTATTGTAACTAGTAGTTACTTTCTGTAAATATCTGTTAACTATTGTAACTAGTGGTTACTTTCTG